ATACAAACACTCTGATTAATTGAAATATGGGGTTTAACGTCCCAAAACCACCATATGATTATGAGAGACGCTGTAGTGGAAGGCTCCGGAGATTTCGACTACCTGGGGTTTTTTAACGTGCGCCTAAATCTGAGCACACAGGCCTACAGCATTTATGAAAATGAAGTCGCTGCAGCCGAAATTCGATCCCACGACCTGCTGGTCAGCAGCCGAGTACCTTAGCCACTGGACCACCACGGCAGGGCTATACAAACGCTCTGGTATGGTTTTGACTGCCACCCCAGTGCCGCTTACCATTGAAACAGCCTTCCCTTCAATGTTAAGGTCTACACTGAAGCTACAGGAACTTCTACTTGAGTAGAACACTGTTTGACAGCTGAAGTCTTCAGATTTATTGTCTGTGGTGTCTACATATGTGACACATTTGTTTTGGCTGTCTTCTTGCAGACGGCCTGCAAGTGCCCCTTTTTATTACAATTTCGACAGGTGTGGTTCCAATACCAACGTTTTTCTGCCTTATGATTCTTTCCACAATGACAACAAGCACTTCGTTGCTCGTTATTGTGACCGTGCAGCTGGCCTTGGTCTGGTTCCCTTATCACAGTCTCGGTTGCCGTGAATGACGTTGACGCTGCATGGTTTTTCGTCAAACTGATTCATTTGCTTAGCCTGTTGCGCAGGTATTCCTTTTTCTAGCGCCATTTTGCATGCCAGCTCGAACAAAAGCCCTGCCTGTGCAAAAAGAGCCAGTTGCGTTTCTTCGTCACGCAAACCAGCTACCAGTCTGTCCCTTAGAACATCATTAAGAAACGTGCCGAAATAGCAGTCTCTTGCAAGATGCTTCACTTCAGCGATCAAATATTTGACACTTTCGTGTTCTCTATGCATTCGGTGATTAAATTTACAACGTTTTGCGATGATAGCGCGGGCTGGGCTGAAATGAGCTTCGAGAAACTGTTTAATGTCCTCAAAACTCTTCTACGAAGGTAAATCAGGCACGACTATTTTTTTAGCTTTTCATAAGCTTCCGCTACGAGTATGTTCACAAACAACTTCAGTTTCTTGTTTTCAAAGACATCATATATGTCTACATAGTTTTAGAAGTTTTCAAAGTACGACCGTATGTTATCGACTTTTGAGTTGAATTCTGTCATCCTGCCAAGCTTAGGACCACGACCTTCTTAATCATTGCCTGCTTCTGCCATAATGAGCAAAGTTCACTAATGCAGAGCTGTTTTTCTCTATGTGTGCCCATATGCCGCCGCTTGTTCGTTTACTCCAGCCCGCCACCGAAGTCAATGCAAAGGCTCCGTGACGCCTCGCTTTCCCGTGACATTCTTGAGCTCGATGAAATCCTGGTAGCAAGGGCTTCGTGTCGCCTTGCTCCGTCAGCGGTTCAGTCTCGTTCCTGCTGCTGGCCAGTGACCATTTAACTGCTACTGGTCCCGTCCTCGCCACCAGATGTTTTGTTTCTTGAGCAGTAAAGACGCATCAGTGGTAGCAATACGAAAAAGCCTTCATTTCATACTGCTGTGCACATTTATAGATAACGCTGCATGCCAATCAAACCACATGGTGGATACAAAACATATCCCACTTCGAGCCAGGACAGTAGCAGCCCACACCAGTCAGCAGAGTGGACCCGTCAGCAAGGGAGCCCATGACGAGCTAAGCCAAGCCCAGCGAAGCTGAAGATGACGACAAAGATTGGAACACCGGCGATTAGGACGAGTGGTTCGTTCGGCAGGACCAACCGACAGCAACCGTGGGGAGTAGGCAGAACGTCATCGATGTACATGACAAACCGTCAACACGGCAATGGAGAGAAATCGCCGTTGACTGTAAGAATGTTCAATTGTTGAGGTGCCATACTGGACTATGAGTAGTGGCTAGAGCTTGGAACTGATTTAGACTGGTTTGCAGTTGGCTTTGTTTGTGCTGTATTAGGGTAGCATTGTGTGTCCATGTGTGTTTGTTTTCCCTTTTGACTTTTTGCCTTTTCTCTTTTGGGTGATATAGGGTGTTTGCCACGCCTGTCTCCCATATCTCCCAATTCCATCCTTCGCAAATGCTCCCGAGATAATAATGACATAAATTGGCGAGCCTGCTAGAATTCGAACCTGGAATAGTGACAATCAGTATGACCACGTTATCTCCAGGCGAGAGCAGCCCTGTTATTGCCATTGGAATAAGCTGGAGGAAGCTGCTCTGAGGTTGCCTGATTTTCTTTTGGAACACAGGCTTTATATACCGACGGCATACTTTCGATGACACGGAACTATATGTGATGATTGCCAGTTCCTTGCGTCCACCCCAATGAGCTTGTGCTTCCAACCCATGTCAACGAAGCATCGAATTTTTTTCTTATAAACACTGCTTTTACGCGCACTAACTCCAACTCCTGCTTTTTCGCAAGCTCATCGAGCTCAGTCTTCAAACATGCTCACTCTGTTTCTCCTTTCCGTGGGCGTTCATCACACTTGGCCTGCTCTTGCTCAGCGTCGCGCTCTTCTCTCTCACGTGCTTGCTTCACCTCGACCCATTTCTTGTGTCCATTTACTATCAGGCTTAGCACTGGCGCTAAGCAGCTCTTTCATGTCCATGTTTTCTTATATAAAGAAAACTGTGTGATGAGCCTCGTCCTGTGGCGAATGCCATTGTGATGAAAACCGCGTTGTTCTTGTAGTACTTATGGTTGAGAGCGTGATCTGTTTTAAAGTGGCAATGCAACACTTTTTCTAGTAAGCATGGAATGAATTTACCAAAAGAGCCTCACAAATTCAACATCGCAAAAACTTTAAGAATCCATACAGTACGAGCGGAGTTACAATGACTTGTCACACGCTGCTATCGCATTCTCTCTTCCCTCGTCCTAATGAAAATGCTGGAAGCTAAGCAGAAAGGGATGGCATGGGCAAAGAAAATACGCCACACGTGTCTCGTGGCTTTAAGCGCCTTTTCCTTTTTTTTTTTTTCTTTGAAGACGCGACTTTTTCAGGGTAATCGCGCGCACGCGTGGACAAGTTGTCGCCTTCCACAACGATCCTTGTAATGACCGAATGCGCCATATTCAAATCAGCCAAAGGCTGATAGATGGCCTTCTATGAGTGATTTCCGAGTTTCCTCCGACATTTGTCGAGAAAAGAGAAAGCAATTTCGAGATGACTTTGATTATTTATTGTGAATTCTAGGCCACATGCTGCGCTATAATATTTCACTTGTGTGTTCTCAGGAGCCTCTACTATCGATCGGCAGCATTTTCTGACCATGCTCAAAAAGTGTTGCAGGGCCCCTTTACAAACGATGAGACTGCTTGCAGAGTTAGGAACACTATGAAAACATGAAAAAATGAGCACACATACAAACAAAACAAGGAAAGCAGACACAGCAAACAGAGAGAGAGCTAATTGCAAAAGTTTTCAACGAGCAAAGAGTCCTTGCTATAGTCTATCACGGCGGATGGAGACTCACCCTTGGTAAAGTCAGACACGCTGGGCATCGCGAGCTAACAAGCAACGCATGATGGCTTCAAAAAATTCGGCAACGCCTTGTACGAGGCGACGAGGAATGTCTTACCACAGGGAAGCGTCAGAGGCGGAGGACGTCAGCAGCCCCATGAAGCTCGTGGCTCTAACTTGTGGACCGCATCCACGAGCATTGATGCTAGAGCCAGTCACCCGACTGCGTCGAACACCCAATACCTCCGTCCACTCTCCTCTCTTTTTTTTTCCTTTTTTTCACCTTTTAAGCTCACAACGTTGGTGTGTTTTCGCACGAGCACCGGCGTACTCATTGCCATCTTCAGGCACACACTGGGACACTACACCCTTTTCGGGCGCACAATACACCAGGACTTTATAATAGCCCACACGACTGACAAGTGTCCCTTTTCAGTTGTTGAATGGTTTTTCTCAGCAGAATACAAAGTGCAGCTAGCATAGGCAACAACGCTTTCCACGCCACCTTGAAAGTGTAGGAGAATGACTCTGAGATCAAGGTTACTAGCATCAGTGAGCACTTATGTATATGCTTCTATGTTAAAGTGGCCAAGGATCAATGGGTTTTGGAGACGTTGCTGAAGCTCGCAGAAAGCGTCGGATTGCGCGGAGGTTCAGGTGAAGGTGATATCATCCTTGACTAGTTGCCGTAATGGTTCTGCAATTTTGGAAAAATCTGGCACAAAATGGCCGTAATTTACACAAAGGCCTAGAAATTGGCTTTGTCTTTGGCATCAGTAACAGAGCAACAGCAGTGGCTTTTTCGTGGTCAGGACAAACACCTCTACTGCTGACAATAAGGCCCAAGATTTCAAGCTTCTCGTATCCAAAGTGACACTTTTCCAGCTTCAGAGATAGACCAGCAGTGTGAATGGCCTGAAGAACCACCTGAAGCCGCTCGATATGCTCTTCCAAAGTGGTGGAAAAAACAACTATTTCGTTTAAGTCTGAAGGTCAGCTAAAACTTTGTCCATGATCAGCTGCAACGTAGCTGGAGCAAAACATAGTCCGAAAGTGAGGACCTTAAATTTTTAAAAAGGCATCAGGGGTTATGAACACTGTTTTTCCTAGTCCTGTTTGTCAACTTCAATCCGCCGATACCCGTTATGGAGATCTATCGAACAGGAGTACCGGGCATATCGCAGGTTATCTAAGGAGTCATTGATACAGTGAAGGGGATAAACATATTTCTTAGCGAGGAAGTTCAACCTGCAGTGATCAACAGAGAATTGGAGCTAGCCACTTTTTCAATTAATCAGGCTTCCTCTGGGCTTTCCTCTGACCAACTCCATTTGTGAATCAATTGTGTATAGGCACAACCAAGGTCTTGTGCAACAACCCAGCATTCCAGCATCTGGCACGCGACTCACACCTTCTTACTTATGACAAAATATTTGTTCCGAGTTAACAAGTACAAGCTCATCTTAAATAAATAGTTAATTTAGAAGCAGGCACTGTATTTGTTTGCTACAATATTAACTTGTTCGAACAAAGCATTGTTACCAGTCCGCTCCTCCACCTCGCCAAACTTGGGAGCGTTGCACATGTTGCATGACTGGCGACGGGCCCAGTTGACATTCCCACAGCGACCGCACTGCCAGTCGTCGGCGCTGAAAAGACCACGGCTTTTCTCGGCCGCCGCCTTGCCAATTTCATGACCCAGCTGTCGCTTGGATGCCAGCTCCAATTTTTCTGAAAAATGCAGATTCATACTATGGCCCCCATGCAAAATACATAACTTGCACACAATCAGCAAACTTCGCTCAGAAATGGAGCACTACCGATGGTTTGTATCGTCCAAAAAAAATTTGCGGCCTTCTCACAGCGACTACCAGAATTTGATGAAGAAGATTAAAGTGACTGACATGCTTGAAAAAAAAAAATGTGTGCAATCAGTGAAAAGCACCATAATTTACTTGAGTTAGGTGCCAGAACAAGAAATTATGAAAACTCTTGTAGATGTTGAAGTGGCACAACCTGGCATCCATTGAAAAAAAAAAAACAAAACAGAAGACACATGGTTCAACACTGCAAATATGATATTAGTGGCATTCCCGAATAGGTTACGGCAACACCATCACCTTGAAGCAGCCATAGCTGCAACTCTAGTTAGCTCGTTTCAATGCATGCCATGGAGCCTAACCATAAAAGCTCTCCAGAGTAGCTGCCAGCACGCTCCTCCCTATCATCATTGCTGCTGTGGTGGCATCTCACAGGCCAGGCGGAGAGAACACAGTAGTTCTCCTCAACATAACCAGTTTTCCCCTTGCCTACTCATCTCCCTCACCACACGGAGTAAAGGGGGAAGGGGAGACAATAGTGAAGTCATTTGAGAGTTGGGATTCATGCCATCCGGTTGTCCTTCTCCACTGTATAAAGCCCTTCCATCTCACGATCACACAAACTTTTTACAAAGTTTTACATGCAAAAGAATCAAGCAAGTTTCAATTTGAATGTGCAGAGTGAAAAAACAACATGTCTAGTTCAAATTTCACCACTTGTTAACCCAAAAACTAGCTCAATGAATTTTAAAAAAGAAAAAATATGTAAACCACTACTCTCAAAACATCAGCAAGATAGTTGGTTACAATACCAGAGAAATCGGACATCTTTACGTCGCTAAATTAGAACTCTAACCAGATTGTATATGGATACATATATATATGCATATGCACATATATACACCGATCAAAAGGCAATACAAGTCAAACAGAGCAAAAATTAATCAGCAAAGTACTCATTTTATTTTATAATCACACAAAATTAAATGAAACTGTAAAAACAAAAACAAAATATTACCCATATAAGCCAAAAAAAGTGTAGAGGGCGCGTTACATTAATCACTCCAGCTGTGTTGGGTCTTGGGCGCCCTCTATAGTATTGTGTACATAAGGATGGTGTAGTAATAAACAGGGAACTTGTGTAGGGAAGGCAGAGCGTGCGTCTCGTTACTGCGGCCCTTAGGCTTCGTTTGGCCGTGTCCCTGGCTGCCTCTGCTCAAACGCACCCACTACATGATGTAAGATCCAAGAAGTAGAATCTCTAGTTCCTGCCTTTTGTCATGGCTAAAAACGATGCTCCCGTTCCCACCGGTATGGACACCACTCTTCCTGGTCTCACCTCCACGGTCACCGGTCTTCATGTTCCTGCCTTCGCTTCAGCCAGTCTCCGGAGCCCCTCTCCGTTTTCCTTCGACAATGCAGGTGAGTGGCTTCCCTGGCTACAGCAGTTCGACAAATAAGCCTTAGCTACCGGCATGCACGCAGCGACGGATGAGACACGGGTTAGAACGCTCCTCTACTGCATGGGTCCCCGGGCACGCGTCGTGCTCAGTTCATTTATGTCAGACGAATACGCTTACAAATCATACGTGGAAGTCACCAGGCGGCTCTCAAGCTACTTCGTGCACCCAGTAAACGAGGTGTGCGAGAGTTCTTGCTTCTACAAGCGGACACGACAGCGCGCTGAGACAGTCAACAGTTTCTTCGGGGTATTCGCTTCACCCTAGAGACCGACCATAACCATTTGGTCAAGCTCTTTGTCACCGCTGCCCTCGACCTCACTCCACCCAGGATACAGTGTTTTCGTATCCGCCTCCTTTAGTACCAGTACGACGTCAAGTACGACGTCAGTCCGACGACCTGCGAAACAGTTGGCTACAGCGGATGCACTTTCGCAGGACCCAGTTGCTTAACTCCCAGAGACTCCAGTCGTTGATAAGGTCGAGCTGTATGTCCATGAAGCCCTCCACGCTATCCCTCCTTGTTAATTCTGTCGTGAGCACTGGCGGACCACAGAAGAAGAGGACACATATTAATAACTCCAGCTGTGTTAGGTCTGGGGCGCCCTCTATGGTATTGTGTACATAATGGATGGGGTACTAATAAACAGGAGACCTGTGTTGAAAACGCAGAGTGTACGTCTCATTACTATGGCCCCCGGGCTTTGGCCTGCATCCTCGGCCACCTCTGCTCGAACACGCCCACTACAAAAAGAACCTTTAGCAATATTTTCAAAATGTTAGTTGATTCAGATAAAACAGCAAGAAGTAGAGTAAGTTATCTCTTATCAACGTAAGCCATCTCTTGTCGGCATTATTTTTTGCAATGGAGATGGGAACAAGGAACCTGAAGCAGTCACAAAATGTCAGTGTGTGCTTATTTCCTTATGAGCAACACGGGCGCCTGTTTTATTTTGACATGTAGTTAAGGAGAGACGCAGTAACGTTGAAAGCTGAGTGAGTTAATGATAGTTCACGTTTAGCTGTGAAGCAGCGCACGGAGACAAGGCACAACAGAAATGAAAAGACAAGACAACCCTTGCACTCGCAACTATCGAAGCCTTCTGTATCACTAAAAAAATGCTCACTCTCACATTAGACCACATTGCTTAGAATGTGGCTGCGTGCCACTGTTCTTTTAAATTGAAATACTTTCCAGTCACGATCAGCTGACCATAAAAGCTATCGAGGCCTTGAATATCACTGAAAGAAACAATGATTGCATCAGCAAAGCGTCAGTTGTTCTAAACAATCACAAAATGCCTTTTTTTGGAAGATCACTGGAAACTGTAGCTAGTTGAATGTCCCTGTCATACATGTTATCGTGTCATTTTGTATACTAACCATGTTTTCTTCAAAATAAAATAGTTGCAAGTGCAGGTGTATCTTCGTTCCTATAACGCCTTGTCTCTGTACGCTACTTCACATACGGCACCTGAAAACTTTTTAAAAAGTTCTTTAATGATTGCAATGAAACTCGTTAAGTTTATGCATATTTCTGTGCAAATTTCAAATATGCTGTTTTTTTTTTTTTTCTTAGTAAGACATGTAGTTTTTAAGCTCCAGGTGCCACTTTGGGAGCTGCACTTTGCCTAAATTGAGAAAGTCACAAAGTGAATAAGCACACCAAAATGAGCTGCAGAGTGCAAGAAAACAATAACGGATGTACTAAGCCCATTTGAACCGAGGTTGTGGTAATGTTGATTTTTTATGACTGAAAGCCCAGCTTAACATAGACTCATTAGCGAATGTTTAACATACAGTAACTTTTGTTCAAGTGGGTTTAGAACATCCATTCTTGTTTTCTTGGACCATGTACTTATTCCAGGTACTTCAGACATGCATTATTACCTTGTAACTGTTTCAGTTTAGGCAAACTATGGCTTACAAAAATCACATGAAATGTCCGTATTTTAAAAACTACACATGACACTACAAAAATAAATACATCTTTGAATTCTGCCCACAAATATACAAAAACTATGCAAGCCTCATCTCAATCGATAAAGTAAAAAATTTTCAACACTCACCTTTGCCACATCGATTGCAGCTGGTCCTGCGTGCGAAGTTGACGTTGCCACACCTGCAGTAGAGACACGAACAGTGAATTCGTTGGACGTTCCTCTCAAAACAGCATCACACAGGCACATTGAAAAACACCAGTTCGTGCCTTCAATCTCTAATGACTATTTTTCAGTTGAATGGCCACAAATCCAAATTTAAGAACGTCTGACACACTGACATAAGGGCCACCATCGCCCGACTCCTGAAATTTTAGGATACGCCAGGTTGTTATTTTATCCTTATACCACGCTACATTACATATGTTAACGTGGTTCCTCCTCACTTCAGCATGCTTTGTCCACTTGTGCACTGTCAGCAGACCTTGTTACCTTTCGAGAATATTAGATGCGACCATACGCCGTTCTCAGCGCCGCTAAAGCATACTAAGCATTGTAAGAATACGATAAACGTACTCGTCAGCCACATATCGTCTTTAGTTTTTAATATTAAAAACTAAGGACAGGGTCTAGCATTGCAGAAAATGGCATTCACTGGGGAAAGAAGAACACACGACAGAAAAGATCACTTTGAACTGCATTAGGTATTTTTTTTTGGATGGAACAAGGTTACAACCTTGTTCCATCCAAAAAAATACCTAATGCAGTTCAAAGTTATGGAACAAGGTTACAACCTTGTTCCATCCTAGATATTTTTTCTTATTTTGCTTTTGCCTCTGTTTTCTTTTTATTATTTCACGCTTTAGCTGTTACAGACACCGGTGGAGGTGGTGGACAACTACAGTGCCAACGATGGTCTTTGATATCGTCTGATAGCAACTTTCACTGTAAAAAAAATAAAAACAAAAGGGTTGATAATGCAGCAGGAAACACTGTTATCAAATCCACCTAAAAAAAAACAGCAAAGCCAAGGACTCTTGTCTGCGCATAGCATGCATCTACATATTCCTTACCCTTTCTCCAATGTGCTCAATTATACTGCCCTGTTTTCTCAATAACTGCTTAAGACATGTGGATGGAAACAGCATAGCAGACAATACTCGCAGACCCGCGTGCTCTGCGCATTGTCGGCAGTTCGTGTTACGTTTTGAGAATATTAGACCCTACCATATGTTACACTCACTAAGTGCTCCCAAAATAAGTAAAAAATTGTAGGAATACTAATGAACATACTCTTCGGCGACATTTAGTTTTTACTTTTCAATGTTAAAAACTAAAGACAGGCGTGGAACAGGGTACATGGGTTTGGGAGCAGTACTGGGAGTAGGCAGAAGTGCCTTTTGCAGCAGGCTTGTGGCACCCAGAAAGACACTTTTCGGAGCAGGCTTGGAGCAGCCAGATGACTTGTTCGAGCACGTTTGGAACAGTAAGAAGGTTCAGCGCAGATGCAGCCCCGCTATACAGCACTTGTGAAGCAACTTTTGTCTAAGCTAAGCTGTGCAACAGCTTTATTAATTCAATAGGAATTACATGGATACCTTCAACGGGCCATTGTCGTCGCCGTCATGTCCTGTATAATGTCTAAATTAATGACATTCATCCGTGCATCGTATGTTCTATCTGCCAGTAAAAGCGTGCATGCATGCAAGTAAGGGCGACGAACGGGGCTCAAAAACAGATCAAACCGTCTTGACTGCGGTTCAAGAGATGCAATAGCGTAGGAGGGGGGGGGGGGGGCGACAGGTGATACTTTCGATACCTTTCTATGTAAAAATATGTAAACCAAAGCCTGTTTCTTTATGATGACAAAAATTTTCATGAATACTTATGCAGCCTACATGGGGCTGTGGAATAAGCCTGTGAAACTTGAAACTGTTGAGTTCCCTTGAATTCAAAGAGTTTAAAAGCAATCTTGGAACTGCCAATGCGATGCTCAATTATTGCAAATGACAAGAGACAGTTTTATGGGGAGGATAGAAATATGGCGAAGATATAAGCTGTGTAAAACATGTGAATCGTGAATAGATGAAGCAAATTCACATCACATGATCCAAGTAGCGTCAAAATCACAGCAACACTAGTGCTTCTAGATATCTATAGTTCTCGCACCAGGTATGGAATCGAAAACACCTTTTTCATGACAAGAACATACAATGGTGTGCAAAAACAAAGATTGGTCAGCATATGTTGACTTCACTTGCAATCAGTCGACTGTAGCACCTAACTGGCTGTGATGGCTTCGCTATGTGTTCTAAAGCGGCTGAGCCTTCAACCTAAGAAGTCATTTGTAACATTGCAGAACAAGGTATTTACGTGTGCAACAGACTAGTAGATACTACACCACTCTCATACACTATATCAGTGATTCTCAATGGGGGCACGCGGACCCTAGGGGGTCTGCAAAGCCGCTTTTATAATCCGCAAAACCCTTAACCACTTTTTTTTTACATCTGTTTGGAGTTTAGTCTAGTTGTGACTCAAACTAAATACCGAAACAGGTTGAACGTGCCTGCAGATATGCAACTCTGTATAAGCGTGACTGTGCCACATATTGAACAATTGTCCTAAATGAAGTGCTATGGCACGTTTGTTTGGTGTCTTTGGTAGCATTAAAAGGCACCTGTTTCACGCTCCAGTTGTGTTAACTTACTTATGTACCCCCCTCCCCCCTTTTTTGCTACAAAGGGTTCCCCATCACTTCCACCAGTCTATAAGGGGTCCCCAACGCATCCATGGCTGAGAAACACTGCACTATATACAGCAAGGGGTACACTAGGTTAAATGGAGGCATCACGAGTTGTTAGTACAAGCTGAAACTCCGATGCTCATTATTGAACAGTAACTGTTTAAAAAGTGCGAGCTTGAGCAAGAACAGTTCTGAGATTACAAAACATATAATATGACTTATAATGACATAAGATTACATATTGTCGCCTGCTACGCCGTAGGTCAGCTGGTTCTTCCATGTCAGCGAGCGTCTTGTTTAATCTCTCCGTCAGACCATTGGTTTGTGGATGGTATGCGGTCGTTTTGCGATGAGCTGTTCCACTAAGTCTCGTGACGTCTTGCATCAATTGGGCTGTAAAGGCTATTCCACGGTCAGTGATAAGAACTGTTGGCGCTCCATGGCGGAGGACGATGTTGTTGATAAAAAAATACGCAATCTCATTGGCGGTGCCTCGTTGTAGGGCTTTCGTTTCGCAGTACCTCGTTAAATAGTCAGTAGCGACTACGATCCAGCGGTTGCCATCATGTGACTTCGGGAAGGGCCCAAGCAAGTCCATGCCGATTCGTTCAAATGATTGTGACGGGGGTGCAACAGGCTGCAATAAACCAGCAGGGCGCACAGGTGGGGATTTACGGCGCTGGCAATGATTGCACGTTTTAACGTAATGCTTGACATCCTGGGTGAGCTTTGGCCATTAGTAGCGAGTCCGAATCCGGGCAAGGGCACGTGCGAATCCTAGGTAGCCGGAGGATGGCTCGTCGTGGCAGGCAGATAAAATGTCAGAACATAGCCCTGGTGGAATGACGAGGAGGTATTCAGTCGCATAAGGTTCGAAGTTCTTTTCGTAGACGATGTCGTTGCGGAGACAAAATGACCCTGAACGTGCGAATGACGATGGTGGACTCGAGCTGTGACCTTGAAGGTATTTGATAAGTTGTCGGATCTCTGAGTCATTCCACTGTTGTTGGGCCAAGTCAGATTCACTGACTGCACAAAGAAAATGGCCATCGGTATCATCGTCACTCGATTTCGTCGCGAGGGGTGCGCGCAAAAGGCAATCAGCATCTGTGTGCCAGCGGCCCGACTTGTAGACGACTGTAACCTCAAATTCTTGAAGGCGTAAGCTCCACCTCGCACCTCTGAAGGCACTGTTGAAGCTTGGAAAAAGCGACTCTGCTCTGGACCCCACACAAAAGGAGTATCCTCCTTTGTTAAACGGGTATGGGGTTCAGCGATGTTGGCAAAGCTCTGGACAAAGCGCCTGTAGCAGGTGCAGAGACCCAAAAACCGGCGCAAATCCCGTTTGTTCGAAGGTGGAGGAAATGCAGCAACAGCCATGGTCTTTTCTGGGTCTGGTCTAATGCCATCGTGACTGATAAGGTGGCCGAGGAACTTTAGTTCTTCGTAGCCGAAATGACACTTCTCTGGTTTTAGCGATAGGCCTGCTGATCGAATAGCGACGAAGACGAACTGAATTTGTTGTAATATAATGACGTAGATGTTCTGTGTATTGTTTTTGTACTGTCCAGAATATATATCATTTCGCAGGTAGTTGTATAACGATGGTGCATGAACTCAGATATCACCCCTAGATGACAGGATTGAATACACATGGCAGCAGCATGACATCTATAGTCAACTCTCGTTAATTCAAACACGAAGGGACCTTCGGAATTAGACTGAATTATCAGGAAGTTGGAATTATCAGGAGTTCTCAGATAGTTGACTCTGGGTGAGGTGACACCACACATTACGATTAGGCAATGATTTTATCACATTTAAAAATTGTTTAAGTATTTTAAAACTTTAACTGCATTCTATGAACAGAAAGCAAAGGTGTAAGATCCATAAGCTTATTGGCCATTTAATGCTGATCAGACCTTTTAAAGAAATTATGAATTGCAAACTGCTTCTATGCATGTGCCTTCAGCCCAAAAGCTCTCTATACCAGTCGAGAAGAATCACAGTTTACTTTGCGTGTGCTTTGTTTTAAACATTTTTTTACTAGCAAAGCCTTTTTTCTTGAAGGCTCGAGATGCTTATTTTTCATTTTTAGACTGTTAGAATCACATAAGCATGCAATTTTTTAAATAGTAGTAAAAAAGCAGCAGATATTTTCTGGTATGAAACTGCAAAAAGTATGAATTAACTGAATGATGGAGTTTCAATTAAGAGGCTTTTAAATACATTGAAAGAATAAAGGGCCAACCGAAAAATTGAATTCTGTTTGAGTTAATCAATAGTATGAATTATCAGAGTTTGAATTATCGCATCTACTGTATCTTACACAGTGTGACCGGGGAGCGTCTGCTACCCGACGCATGTGGATCGCCATAACAATGGAAACGATGCCGTCAAAAAGAACAGTGGCGAGGTATTGTGTGAAGGTAACCA